TGAGGAAGAGAGAGAGAGATGTCATGTCCATACCATAACGTAACTTCAGTCGTGTCTCCATTAGGGCCGGCTTTGCTGCCAATATCAAAAATCATACAGAGCCTGTTCCAGATGCAGAAGCAATGGGGATACAGCACGACATAGTATCATCATGGAGGATACAAGCTCAGATGATATCAATATTCAAAGCATTCAGCTTTCACAAAATATCCCAACTGAATCACAATAAACGGATTGATGGGAGCAACTGGCCAAGTGAAAGTACCCCCGGACTCAGCAACCGACTTCCCGTTATCAGCAATCATGATCTGACCATTAATGGCTGTTGCCAGATCCGAAGCCAAGAAACATGATAGAGCTGATAGATCATAGCCAACTCATTTTGAATATCCTCAGCGGTCTTTCCGAGCTTTATTCCACGCCCCGGGAGCGGGACCCGTATTTCAATGCTAAGGCCTGCATGACTGCCATTGCGCATTGGAAATGTGATATCGAAAGATCATTTAGGACGCTTAAATGTATAGTTAGTCAATCGCTATCAAGAAATGCATAACGGAAACTAAAAAAGACAGATCGGTCCCCGCATTGGCAAAGTAGAAGTCCAATCGACTATGAAACTTCAAAATATGTTGTATTAGGTTAAGTTTTTGTTCCTCGGATGAGATATCGAAGATACGATATTCCTCTATGTATAGTGTCGCTCCCAGTGTCTTTCACCGTATTTTGGAGATCTGCACAGGAGCTCGTGTTGACATCGCAGTCGAAAAGGCCTTTTGCGCCGGATTTCGATACAGCAGTCACCATAGAACAACCAATGGCATAGGCTGCACCTACGCCAGTAAAGACACCAACTTGACCCTTAAAGAGTCCCTTGGGCCATCATGCGTTGATGGATTGCTCTCAGGGATTTTCTCTAGGAAGTTGATATCCACCTAGTTAGTCGTTCTCGGATATATAATAAGAAGATCGGCCTATGTTGTAGCCCAATCCCTAGGTCTGCAATGTGATCCTATCTAATGTTGTACTGAATTTTAGGGTAGGCACCTTCCACACTATGGATATGATTGGACTGCTTGCCCGTCATAGTTTGAAAATGACATAGCAATATGTCCCAAAAATATCCACATGCTTATATTTGCAGACCTCCGTGGTGGAACTTCCGTTATACTTGGTACATATACGCGGATGTTTATAAGGATGGTATTGAAGTCGGCAATACCCTGTTGAGGAATTATTTAGGGCCTGGGCCACTCCGAAGTCTTTCCTTTGTTACGCATACGAATAGTGGCTTTTATGAACATTCGATATCGTTCTCTCTTTTTGTTGCATCATTACTTGTAACTTATAGATTGGATAAGAACCTAGACTTGTACCTATGTATGTAGGTATGTACGGAGTAGAGGCTATCTACAGGTATTAGGTACAGTCAAAGTGATACCCAGCAAACCGAAATGACAACAACAGTCTATAGCAAGATCTCATGTTGAATGATCGAGGAATGTAAACTCTTCCTCCCCCTACAAATACATAGGGATCAACGCTTCTGTTTCCCCTTCTTCTAGTCGAAAATCATGATACCGTTTGATATGGTATCTGCCATGGTTTGTCAGATTCAGACCTCAAACCCTTTGATCACTCGGGGGAAATTCGTACAGCCAGCTTGTCACTCCAAGATAGACATCTTTGCAAACGGTCACAAAGGTTGGACCCTCTTCGGCTAACCCGTTCTTAGATGCAAGGGCAAGAACATCCGGCACGAGGCTCTCGAAGGTAGTATAGCTATCATTAATAATTTGGCAAGTAAAATCAACTGCCTTCTGTGGTTCGAATCCTTGATGATAGACGAGCAAAGGGACTATGTTATCCACATGTTTGTAGCGCTAGACCTAGTCAGCTGTTAGATTTTATACCTATGTTGAAAGAATTTACCAATTCATTGCGAGTAGAGACAATGTCATTCTGCCTAGAGACTTATTAGCACGTCTATATCAATTTGATCACGTACTCACAATGATAGCATGATGTTGATGTGTCTCATCATTTCCTTTGGTACAGGATGGTTGATAAACCAAGCTGGGAGAGTGATATCCTGTACAATCCTGCAATAGCTGTTAGTAGATTGCAGATAAGTAGTGATAGGGACTCACGAAGCAAACACTATGACGGGATAGACAGCTGAAGCTTGCACCCTGTTCTCTAGATAGACGTCTAGGTCCATGATGACACCATCCTGAAACGCATCTTCGGATCTGACTGCCCCTGCGACATAGCTGCAAAGTTCGTCGCAGAGGAGGTGTTGGAGAGGTTCTGTGTAATTATTTAGTCAATGGATCTTAACAAACCGAGTGAGGGAATTTATACATACCAAGCTCAGTCCCTTCTTGAAGCGAGAATCCTATGTCGTAAAACGCTTCGGCCGGAGTAGGGGGCACATCTCCCCAGTCAGGAGGTTGTTCTATGGCAGTCCTGCCCAAAAGGCCTTTCTGGACGGTCCTTGACGTTCAATTCGTACTAGCTCTCGTTGCTTCGCCCCGTCGCTGAAGCTGCCCAAATCAAGAGCTATCCTATGTTAGTCAGAAGCGACGAAATAACAAGGTATGAACATACCGTCATCCCAAGCGAAAATCTGGTGTATGGTCTTTGTTAGCCAAATGGAGATCTAAAGAAGGATGATTCAGGTACCCAGCTAGTGAATCTTGCTGCAATCTGCAAGTTCGCCACGTTGGCGTTTGGGTTTGTAGCTCGTGCGAAGTAACCGCAGTCGGCAGCCAGGTTCTGCTTGTAAGCCGTAGGCTCCAGTAGCCAGCTTCATGTCTTCAGCATCGCCGAAACAAATAATTCGACAAAGGCTACATACCGTTGACGCCATGATTCTACATGTTCCTCCACTTTTCTGTCCAAGTCTGGAGTCACCCTAGCATACCAGGAAGGGGACAATGAATACATAGATGGGACTCGGACAACTATGTCCTTGAACTTCTCCAAGATTCGGTCGATAGTAGACATATTGATTTTGCTATGCCTGAAGTGCAGAGCAAGCAGATGAATGTTTATGGTCTTCAAGAGAGGATACTAGGGCTATTTACAGAGGTCCTCTTCCTCAGCATATATAAGTCACATTACAACCTTGGAAGTATTTCGTCGACTTTTACTATTTTTGTGGATGGCTACATACATATGTAGTTACGCAGCTGTACAAAGTTGTACAAACTTCAGTTTGTGCTTTCGCTGAAGACGATCTATTCTATACCAAGCAGTTCTGTATAATATGCCTTCCATACAACCTTGGAAGCCGCGTGCTCTACGTCCAAATTGACAAATACGTGCAGGCTGAAGCCCATCTATACCATTTCAAGATATTTCAAGGACAAGATCAAGCTCGTATTTGCGAGCAATATAGGTCTATCTTTTCTAAAAGGGTATATATACACTTACTTACCTACCTTAACTACATAGATATGTTCTTTTAGTTATTCTAGGGCAAACCCGGTGTCAACTGACTTCATATTCGACTCGGTAGTGAAGTCATTTTCTGCATTATAAGGCGATCCCACGGCAGTATATCTAAAATATTCGATTTCCCTGGCACATTGCTATGTACAACCTAGGGTAAGCAAAATGCTCTCTAATGCAAAACATCCAACCGTGGATATCTACCTCAACTCCTCCCACTGCACACCAGCCCATTCTTCCCGCCACCCAGTAACGCCCAACTCCTGCGGCGTACAGTTCTTACCACAAACCCCCATGATGATAGTGCCCCACTCCATACCCGCATCATCCTTTCCAAGTCCAACACCAGGACGCCCTTCCTCAAGCATAGTAATAGCATGCGGCACAAGCTGGAACTCGAACACACGTTGACTTCCACAGTACTCACAAGGCGGGATACTTCCCGAACCAACTGTGGTAACCTTGGCGCCAGGAGGATTGTGAACATGCAGCCGGGCACCGACCTCATCACTAGTCGAGTACAGCAGCGGCGCACCGCGGAACTCATACCGCAGCACCTGCTCCGGGTTGTGCTCGATGCGCATCGAGAACTTCATAAAGTCCTTGTCGAGCTCGGACTCGAAAGTGTCCTTGAGCTCCGCGACACCAGCGCCTTCTTCCTCCATCGGTTCGATCTGCACATTATCTGGCACTGTGGGTGAAGATGGCCGCGAGAGAGTCTCGTATTCTGCATCTAGGTAAAAATTTTTGTAGGGTGCAGGGAACGCGGACTGCGCGGGCCACGGCACCGGTATGCTTGATTCGGGCGTTTTCTTTGTAGCGGCTGAGGGGGGCGGCGAGGAAATGCGCACTTTGTCGGCGAAAGTTGACGCTAGGGTGGTTTCAGACACGGGTTTCTCGGCTGTAGGTGCTGTTGTCTGGACCGGTGTTGCGAAGGGGTTGCTGCCTGCGGGTGTTGGGCCCGAAGCGGACGAGAAGGGGTTCGGGTTCGAGGAAACATTGCTTGTCAGGTTTGTTGCGCCGAACAGGCTCGCTCCTAGGTCCTGCTTGGGTTGCTCTGGCGCGACAGGCTGGGTTTCCTCTGTTTTTGTTTCATCTTGTTTGTTTTGTCCGCCGACGGTAACCTTGCGCGCTGCGCGGAATGCTCTGATGCTGCCTGGCTTGCGGTTGCAAGGTTTTCTGGGGCAGCCAAATAGGTATAGGCGTCGTTCGTCGGTCGGGAAGTGATCGGGCAGATCACCGTGCAATTCGAGGAGGAGCAGCATTGGGCTGTTGCAGACTTTGCAATCGGCGAAATCGCCAGGTGCTGGGGAGGCTTCATCGAGCCATTTCTGAACCAAAAATTTCTATTGTTAGTTGGAGTTGGTCATAGAGAGCGATCCCTCGCAGTGATAGAACATACCGGCCAGCCTCCAAGATGGCTGATCACGTCCTCAATAACATCCTCAGCGGCATAGCCTAGAAGCACACCGGTGTCGGTAAAGTCCTCGTCGACACTGGAGTCACTGTCATAGGGATCCATTTTGAATTGATTCGGAGTTAAGAGAATTCTTTCTTCGACTGGTTCGAATCTGTGATGCCCCTCAAAAAGATAAGCGATATGGAAATGCACCAGTCCTAAAACAGACTAGCGTGGTATGATTACCTACTACCAAGTTACACTCGCATCACGCCCTTGACACTTCAACGTCTGAGGATATCTGATGATATCTGACCTATATTCAATCTGTGGTTAATCAGAATTTGCTATTCAACTACCAATTAGCTTTGCCATCTTCTAGTGCTACCATAATCATGCGGGCGTCTCTGCCACGGCATGTCCCTCTCTTCCTATACTCCATCCTAGCCATCCTACTCATCTCGTTTGGTAATGCATCAGAACAAGAGCCATTGAAAGGGGCCGTTAATGCATCCGCTAAGCGGGTGGCAATAATCGGTATGCGCCTCTCTACACAAGAACGTATCTCTGTACAAGGCTGATAACCCTCGTAAGGAGCCGGAGCCGGAGGGTCATTTGCTGCGTATCAACTGCGCAAACTCGTAGATGAAGCCAAGATTCCTGTCGATATCACAGTCTATGAGCGTGAATCATATGTCGGCGGTCGCTCGACAACAGTCAATGTATTCGACGACCCAGCTTACCCCATTGAACTGGGCGCTTCCATCTTTGTCCAGGTCAATTACAACCTGGTCAACGCTTCCCGTGACCTCGGTTTGACTGTCAGTAGTGCTGACCATGCACGCCCCAGGGAGTCTGAGGAGAGTATCGGAATCTGGGATGGGAACCAGTTTGTTTTTACGTTGAAGAATTCGTATAGCTGGTGGAACATCGGCCGGCTCTTCTGGCGGTATGGACTGGCGCCGCTGCGTACTCAGAATCTTGTGAAGAGTGTTGTTGGAAGGTTTCTCCGCCTTTATGAACGGCCCTTATTCCCTTTCAGCTCCCTCACTGACGTGGCTATTGCGGCCGACTTGATCAATGCTACTACATCTTCCGGCGATGTGTTTCTCCAGGCAAATAGCATCGATTCGCTGTTTGCGAGGGAGATCATCCAAGCAAGTACTCGAGTGAATTATGGCCAGAACCTGCCGCTGATTCATGGCTTGGAATCTACTGTCTGTATGGCTACGGATGGAGCGGTTTCTATCGAGGGCGGAAATTGGCGCATTTTCGATGGCGCGCTGAGAGCCTCGGGAGCGAATATCAAAGTGAATACCACGGTCACTGAGATTTCACGCAACGGTGATGGGACTGTGCGCGTCTCCTCGAAGCTAAACACCGCTGCCAGCTCAGAGCATGAGGTATTCGACGAAGTTGTCATTGCCGGTCCTTTGCAGTACTCGGGTATCTCCATCTCTCCTCCCTTGGAGAGCACCCCAGATGAGATCCCATACGTGAATCTGCACGTTACGCTCTTTGCATCCCCACACCGCATCTCACCGAAGTATTTTGGCCTGAATGATTCAAATGCTCGAGCGCCTGAGACTATTCTGACCACTCTGCCCGAGGGTCTTGATCTGGGTTCGAACCCAGATGGTGTTGGGCCCAGCGAATTCTGGAGTATCAGTACTCTTCGAACAGTAGATCATTCAGCCTTAGGATCTGAAGAAGATACGCAGCAACATTATGTTTACAAAATCTTCTCGCCAAAGCGGCCCACGGCTGAATTCATTGCCCAGATTTTGGGGCTGGAGAGTGAGATTGTGGGAAGCAATAAGACCATCGGAGACCTTTTGATGGGCGATATCAGCTGGTTCCACGAGAAGCTATGGAACCCGTACCCTCTTCTGTATCCGCGAGTGACATTCGAGGAGACGGTCCTGGCTCCGGGTGTATGGTATACAGGTGGCATCGAGAGCTTCATCTCGACAATGGAGACTAGTGCGCTGATGGGCCGGAACGTGGCAACTCTCATGTTCCAATCATGGCAAAAGCAAGGAGATCAGACAGACAGTGATGCACCGTCCGGGGACAGGGAGCTCTAAGCTTGCTTATGTCTTGTCTTGGCTTGCCAGCCTCCTTTGTTAAACCAATCAAGCGTTATGCGTGGAGAGTCCCTCTTTCAGCCTTGCATTTGTTATTTACTCTCTCATCTTATATGAACCGTTCAGTATAAAATATGAAATAATGAACTTGATTCCTTTCTATGCACATGGATTCGTAACCTGCATCCAATCATTTTAGCTAAACATGTATCGACAGTGTAACTTTTCTATTATAACCCTCACAGCATGAGCAAACCCTAAACCAAGAAAATACCAGAGATTTACTCCATCTCAATAGTACCGGGGGGCTTGCTGGTGAAGTCGTATGCAACACGGCACACACCCTCGACCTCGTTGACGATGCGGGTAGCGACCTTGCTAAGGAAATCGTAGGCGAAGGGGTAGGGGGTGGCGGTCATGAAGTCCTTGGTGGAGATGGCGCGGAGGAGGATGATGTTGGCGTACACGCGCTTGTCACCCATGACACCAACGGCGCGCGAGGGGTCCAGCGCAGCGTAGGCCTGGCCGATGTCGTCGTACAGACCGGCTTCGCGGATCATACTAATGAAGATGTGGTCGGCCTTGCGGGCCATATCGACCTTCTCCTTGGTGACCTCACCCAAGACACGAATGGCGAGACCGGGACCTAGAGATGGTGTTAGCTCTCAGATTTGGAGACTGATGGGGGCATCTGTGTGGGTTTACGTACCAGGGAAGGGGTGACGGCCAACAAGCTCCTCGGAGATCTTAAGCTGGCGGCCCAGCTCGCGGACCTCATCCTTGAAGAGCTCGCGCAGAGGCTCGATCAGCTTCAGGCCGTGGCCGGCCATGAGACGCTCGGCGATACCACCCACGTTGTGGTGAGTCTTGATAGTCTGCGACGGACCCTTGAATGAGATACTCTCAATGACGTCTGGAAAGATATTAGCTTAAGTCGCCGAACTACGAGCACAAATAGTCTTACCCGGGTAGAGAGTGCCCTGCAAGAACCACTCGACCTTTCCGGCACTCTTGGCCTCGATCTTGCGGGCCTCCTCCTCGAACACATCGATGAACTTGCCACCGATGAACTTGCGCTTCTTCTCGGGATCGTGCTCTCCCTTCAGGCCAGCCAAGAACTCCTCGCTGGCATCTACAACAGTAAGGTTGATGCCAAGCTGCTTCTGCAGGACTTCCTTGACAACTTCGCACTCGTTCAGACGCATGCATCCGTTATCGACCAGGACGGCGTGGAAACGGTCACCGATAGCCTCGGTCATAAGGCTGGCAGCAACGGTAGAGTCGACACCACCGCTGACAGCACCCAGGACCTGACCGGTAGGGCCAACAAGGTTGCGGATGCGTGTGATCTCCTGGCCAATAAACTCGGACATGGTCCAGCTCTGCTTGGCACCGCAAATGCCGACAGCAAAGTTCTTAAGAAGCTGGCCACCCTGAGGAGTGTCTGAGAACCCGTCAGTACCCAAGCCGAAGGAGAAGCACAAGTCACACAACCAAACACTTACGAGTAACCTCGGGGTGGAACTGAATGCCGTACACGGGCTCAGACTTGTGGGCGATAGCGGCGTATTCAGAGTTCTTGGTCTCGCCGATAGTGTGGAATCCCTCGGGCAAGTTGCAGAGCTTATCACCGTGGGACATCCACACGGTCATGGCATCCTCAAGGCCCGCGAACAGCTTGTCAACATGGCCTCCGAACCGGGTGGCCTTCAGGTCGGCATGACCATATTCGCGGGCGGTACCGGCGACAACGTTGTCGGCGTGCAGACGGTGGGCAATCTCCTGGAGACCGTAGCAAATTCCGAGAATGGGGACGCCCAATTCGAAGAAGGCGGGGTCGATGTGGGGGGCACCCTCCTCGTACACAGAGTAAGGACCACCGGACAGGATGATACCCTTAGGCTTCCAGGTCAGCTCGGAGAGCTTTTGGGTGCACGGGAGCATCTCAGAGTAGACATTGATCTCTCGTAGACGGCGGGTGATGAGGTGGGTGCTGTACGTAGGGATCCGTTAGACTCGGGCGAATTGTAACACAAAAAAATAGAATTGACGACAAGTGTACAGTCGCCAACGCCACGGGGAAGTCATACTATTGGGATCCATTGTCGAGCACCAGAATGGTGTCGAAGCTGTTGTGAGGAATCACCTCGGATTCGGACATTGTGAAATTGAGTCACACAGTTCTCTTCGTGAGAAAGTTGGAAGATGTCGGAAACAACGACGGATCAACTGCAATTGATTGCGACAATATGTATCGGCTAAACAGAAGTAGCCTCCGAGTGTATATGGACTATGACTCTAAGGGAAAAAAAAACCAAGTCTTGGCTTTGGAGAATTTCCCGATAAGAAAAAAAGCGCCCCGCTGTTCCGCCCACGTGACCAATGAGGGGCTCCGCAAGCAGAGTACTGCCCGGGCGAAGGCTTTGGAAACCACAAGGACAACATGTAGAAACCAGTACCGTTGTGTGTGCAAACTGCTGTTGCATTTGATTTCTATATATATATTTGATAAGTGGGGGCTAGTAGTCCGCCTCGCTCTCGCTGCCGGGATAGGCCTTCTTCCTCAATTTCCATAGTGACTTTTCTCGTCGCGCGGCGACTTCACGCTGGTGACGACTATTATCTTCCACGACAGTCATCCAAGGCACATTGCTCGCCCGACGGACCCTCTCTCGCAGCAGTGCAAGCGTTCGATGGTGCTCAGCCGGATCGAGCTCGTGTGCCTGGTCACTGCCAGAGTCTCCAGATTTCCTCGGCCCGGATGTCAATTGCTGGTAGCGCCGCTCTGCCGCACGAGCGGCGTAGTATTCTTCACTAATAGCCCAATTCGGGTTATCAAGCTGGCCGCGGACCAGCACAATGCCATACCCTTGCTCGATGGCTCTTTCTAGGTGAGATGAAGGAATAGGAGTGGAGATCTCAAGCTTGCGCGAAGAGGTATCGATCGAGCGGACCAAAGCCAGACCAAGACAGTTTGACGCTTTGGGATCCAATGGGGTGCAACTGCCAGAACCAACAAACAGGTAAGGAAGGTCT